CAACCAAATAACTCAATTTTTTTTTAGAATGAAGCTAGAACTGTCAGCTGTCAAATGACATAGCAATAACATAGATGCGAATGACTCTAGTAATTCCAAAAATGAACTAGTGCCATCTGTCGCAAACATGAGGCATGACTTTTCTGACAACCCAATACGTAAAGAAAAGGAGAACTGTGACATTAGCCCGAGCAACTAGTCCTGCAAGACACCAAGTTGTCACCAAGTCCTCCCCTTTGCCTCTGAGGAAGCTAAAAACCAATTCAGAAAGTCAAATGCCTTAGTGAGATCTTTGCTGAAAATTTCACAATATGCCTCAGCAACCCATGTCAGCCAATGCAAGCCAGGCCTGGCCAGTTCAGGAGTTGGTGTGTCTTGATACGTGGAAGGATCCTTCCTCTGCCCCTTTTTGGTTGGGTGGCCTTGGTTAGCTGTGTACCTAATCTCTCTGAGTCTGTTTCATCTGGAAAATAGTGGCTATTTATTGTCTGCCCAGAACCACACCCTTCTTCTTTTGGCAAACCATTCCTTTCCCTCCCAACCTTAAAGCTAATTCCAGTATCCATAGCACTCCCTGACCCAGGACACAATACCCTGAAATTTGGCACCTTGGCATATTGAATATTTTAAGGTGACTGAGTTTGAGAAAATGTCAGAAGCAGGAAGGTCATTCTGACTTTCTCCCTGGCCCTTTTCACCTGAAATAGGTCATAAAACCTTCATGTGAGAGATATCCACCCATACCCTGAGGAAAAGAGCGTCCTTATCTGCAGAGACAAAGAATGTCCAGAGCCTGAACAAACAGGCTCTGTCAAGTTTCCCCAGTTCACAAACTACCTCATACTCTTTGACCTATCCTACTGCTCCATGACTGTGACTCTTCATCAAACCTAGCATAAAACACTCAGGTTTAACCATCTCTTTGGGTCATCATATCCCTATGAAGGCTCCTGGGTCACATAAAACTTATATTAAATAAATTTGGACATTTTTCTTCTGATACTCTGTCTTTGTCCATTTAATTTTCAGACCCAGCAAGGGACCCTAAGAGGGTTAAGGAGAACTTTGTTCTCCCTACACCAGGCAATTTAATGTCACATCCCCTCCAAAAAAGAAGTAGGGAGCCAAGAAAGTCTAATCACATTCCTTTCCTGGGAGTCCCTGAATTGGGGTTGGAAGGAACGCTTGCTCCTTGGGAGTTACAATGCTGTAAAAACACAAGTCCAGGATTGCCAGCGTCTATTGAGGTCAATGGGAGACAGAGAGACAGAGACAAGGGACAGAGCAAGGAACAGAGAGTCTTGACAGCATCTGGCTCCTTAGACCCAAGATCTCTGAAGCTACATCCATTCCTGTGATTTGGTTTTATAACCATTAAACACCTTGTTTTTTGCACAAGCCAGTGTGAATTGATCTCTACCACATCTATTAGAACAAAAAACAATTAAAACAGTCATCTTCTTTAAGAATTATTGTATTGGAGTGATGGAAATGTTCTAACATTAGATTGTGGTGATGGTTGCATCCCTCTTGTAAATTTACTAAAAAAAATCATTGAATTTTACATTTAAAGCAAGTACATTTTATTGCATAGAAATTATGTATGCAATAAAGCTGTTTAAAAATAATTATTATTGCTTGACATAACCAGTGTTTTTAAGAAATGAAGATAATTATCATTGTTGTTTGGTCTATAGTCTTTTACGTTTTACATTCATTCATTCATTCATTCATTCATTCATTCAATCAATAAATTTTGTTTCATAACCACTATATTTCAGAAAACATACTAGGTGCTGGGCACATAGTAGTAAGTAAAAAGAAACTGTTTGATTTAATAGGCTATTATTCTAATTCTTTTTAAATTTTAATAGATGTCCTAGTCACCAACCTTTAGTTATTCTCATTGCATTCTTTCATTTGTAAAGGATCTACATTCTCTCAAATTGAAATTCATAATAGGCAGGACAGAATTCCCTCTTTGATCACATTGAGAATATCTTTGTAGTTAATGCCACATGTACTTGGGGATGGGTCTACCACTAAATTATTGTGTGACTTTAAGCAAGTTGCTTGCTCTCACTGAGCCTCAGCCTTTTCATCTATAAAATGAGGCTTATAATATCTACCGTATAGGTTATTATGAGAATTTGATAGTTGATGGATGCAAAATCCTGGCCCTGTAGGCAGTCAACAAATATTAGTTCCCATCCTCTTCTCTAAAAAATGATGTAGACTAATATTATACTAAAGGTTCTGAGATTGTTCTTAGTAAGAGGCTACCCACCCTTCTTCAATGATGAAATATCGGAGCTTATCATTGCTGTCACGGGAGGGGGTTGCATAACATTTGTTCAGCGTCAGGATCAAATGTGTGGCATCGGCTCCAACCACAAAGACCCCTACATACAGCACGTCTCGAGTTGTCAACACCACTTCACCCTGGCGGTAAGGATGTTTGTAGGAGGCATTTTTGTAGAGTGCCATCTTGGTGGTAAAACTGCCTTCTTGGGTTGGAACTGTCAGGTTAATGACACTAAAAGGGAAAAAAATCATGAGGTGGGGAACTCCAAATGACTTTGTTTATTCAATCACCTACCATTTTTTAAGTTGAAAAGGCAGATGGAAGGCAAAGTAGATAGATTGTAGTGAAGTCTAAGGCTGCATTGTCCAATATGGTATCTATTAGCCACATGTAGCAATTAAACTTAAATTAAAATTCCATTCCTCAGCACCCCCAGCCACATTTCAAGTGCTCTACAGCCACATATAACTACTGTATTGGATAGTACAGATGTAGAACATTTCCATCATTGTAGAGAGTTTTATTGAACAGTGCTAGTCTAAGGCATTTAAGTGCAGAAAATATTATTTTTTCCCTAGTGCTTCAAGGATAAAAGCTAGCAATTTTTATTATGCTGACCTTCACTATCAAGGAAAAGACAAAGCCACGTGCACAGCCCATGAGATTCTCTACCTGAGCATAGGCTTCACAACAGAGTCTAAGGAGATCTTGATATCCAGCTCATAAGCACATGAAAATTCCACATTGATCGTCCGGTCCCTGGTGATAATGTTGCCGGTATTGTTGGCACTTTCGATCCAGATGGTGTTTTTATACATGATATGAGTACCATTGGACTGCAGAACAAAGGGAGGTCAAAAAATCATTAAATCTGAGAGTATATGGCTTGCATCAAACCCATGCCCTGAAAGTGAAGAAATGGCTTCATTCCATCCATAACCCAGAGGCCAGTATAAATCAGCATGGAGCTAGCCTTGGCATTTACTTGAAAACAAATAAACAAACACGTATTACAATAGGCGTCAACAACAACCTTCAGTCTGATAACCTTTGATGCCCACAGAGGGTGATTTCATGAATTCTAACAACAACCAGCCTCCAGTTATCTGTGGGAATCTAAGCAGGATACAGCATGAAGTATTGCCATCACAGTACCCGTGTTTAAGTCTTTTTAAATTCCTAATTCAAAATTTCTCTTCCACCAAATCTTTTACCAGACATGCCCACAAGTACCAAAATGGACAAATGCAAGTTTCACCTTCTTACTCCTTTCCCTGATTAAAGAAAGAACATAGTTATCAAATGAACACCATTATAAAAAAAAAAAAGACAGCAGGAAGGAAAAGGAAGAAGAGAAGCAAGAGGCTTTGCTAACCTATAAATTGGATAATCTGATACTAAAAGTTGGACCCTTGCTGGATTTCTCTTAAATGATGTCTGGGACACCCTATGCCTCGAAATCGTTAAACCCAGCTGTATTTACCTGGAAGAACAGAAGCATGAGAGAGGTAACAAAAATTTGTCAATGTGCGGGGCAAAGGATGACAGCATAAGCCAAAGAAAGAAGCGTGTCGCCTAACACGCTTTTTCCATTCAATCAACTACTTGGCACCAAATGGCCATTTTCCTTGATGTCTTTCATTTCATACATGCTTTTTGCTCTTTCTCAAGGAGAAAATTTCTAAGTGGACCACCCTGAAGTTGGCTTTAAGGACAATCAATGTGCAGACACCCAGAAGGTCTCTACCTTTTAGGTGCTCTTTCCAGCCCTGGTTTCTCACCTGCACGATGTTTCCACAGTTCCCTTTGGTGTTATTGATCTGAAAGGAGATAAAATCTTCCCCCTCGATGCCAGTGCACTGTCTGTCATTGATCCTCACGCCCTCTCTCTCAAAGCCAAGCTGGAAGAGTTTGCACTTAGATATGGACACTTCCATTTGGGAAGCCTTGCAGGTCACCTCTGCATCAATAATGTCATGTGAGTCTGTGGGGAACAGTTATTACAAAACGCAAGTCAGTAGGAGTTGGTCTTGCTGCAGGGTTCAGGGTGAGGCATCCATTACAGTTTCCTTTACAAAAGGCTAATGATCTTTGCACAAAGATCTTTGCACAAAGACATGCTGTGGCATGTCTCACTAAGCTCTGATCAAACCAAATGAGTCTAAGAATTCATTCAAAGCAGTATCTGGGACCTTGTAGAAATGCAAAGATGACAGTATGAATGAAAGGTGAAAATACGAATAAAGTGTCTTTTCTTCATAAACAAGGACTTTGCCCCCACTTTGGAGGTAGCTACTTTTCTGTAAGTTAAATACCGCATCTGGTTCATTGTGGCTTGGCTAAAGAACATGCCCCAAGTGAGAGCAGCACTGGCCAGGCCACCCCAAAGCCCCAGCTGATTCCCAGGTGAGCACTAGGATATCTTGTTTTGTGACATGATGATGCACCAATTGAGATTTTCTGTGAGTACGTAAACACAGGCGAAAGAGCTCTATAGAAACAGAGAGAAACATTTTTATCTGCTTAGGTGAAGCTCTTGAACAGCACATGTTGTCCCCTCCTATGGAGCCTTTTAGTCAATTAGGCTTTCACTCTCTAATGATGTTAAATTTAGCACACGCCTTCTGAGTTTTCTGGTTCAGGCAAGGGTGTGTGCCGAGCTGGGAGACACAGCAGCTCCCCTTTTAGTGACATTACAGGTGCACTCCTACTGTAAAGGGGCTGTGTTAGGAACAGGACCTGGAGTCCTAGTTGGTTACTGTTTCTTCAAACATTTCAGTTGTTTCTTCAGGACTCACCTAAAGCTGGGGCCAGATAAAACTGGCTTTACACAAGTCATAAAGCACCTGGCACTCTCATCCTGATTCTTTCATGTTTTGATCAAACCACCTTACTTCCCTATAAGTCTAAAAGAGCAGTTTGGATCTCTCTGATGTTGAATGTGGCCTCAGATGGAACTGGCTGATTCCACTCATATACAGATTTACATGTTATGATTTATTATAGAAAAGGATGCAGCTCTGAGGAAATAAACATTAGCCTACTTTGAAGTGGCCAGATCGCTTCCTCGGTCTGCTTAAATGCTCATTAAAGCTTTGCTACTTGGGTTTCTAGCCTACAGTGTGGGGCGTATGGGCTCCGATCCTGCAGCTTTCCTGTGGCTGCCAGGCCTCTCCCATTGGGCCTATCTGGGTGGGGGTGGGGGAGGTAGCAGGTGTCACTCACTGTTTCCATAGGGGGGTGGCTCGATGCAACCACATAACTCGCCTCCATTGTCCAGCTCACAGGTTCGGTTGGGACAGTCCGCCCCCACACAGGGATCTTCAACCACTCCTGCTAAAAAGGAAAACAAACAGAAACACGCACAATTTGATTTTCACACAAACACACAGTAGCATGTGGTTACACCCTTGGATTTGCCACTCTAATGGAATTGGTGATGGTCAGATGGCAGCCACAAATTAACAGACAGGGCAACCTTCCAGAAAATAATGATAACAGCTAGTAATTGGGCCTTGCTATGGCCCAACACTGTGCTTCATGCTTTAGTTGCATTATCACCTCCAACCCTCACAAATGCTCTGTGAGCTAAGTATTGTAACCCTCATTTCACAACTGAAACTTGCCCAAGGTCACACACAAGTGAAGGTTAAGTGGTGAAGATGGAATGCACAGACACTCTTAACTGCCAAGATACACCATGATTACTGCACTTGCTACACTGTACTACAAGTACGTGCATTGTGTCTTTATAAAGAGTAGGATCCAAATCATTTCTCTCTCTATTTCCAACATCCAGTCACCTCCTAATAGGTGCTCAACAAATATTTGTCAAGAAAGACAATTTTAGGGCCAGTAAAGACCCAAAGAGTTCCCTTATAGCAGCAGGACTTCTTAGTTTTTTTGATTCATGGTCCATCTTCCCCAGAAACTTCTAATTAATTTTATAAAAATAGATAAACCAAAAACCTACACACAACTCACAAGCACTGAGTTAGATTAATGGTGCCGTTTTGCCAAAAAGGATAAAACTCTAAAGAAAATATAAATGCACATGAAGTGTCATTATCATATTATGAACAATATTTCTATAGCAGGTGAGGCCACAGACCACCTGCAAGATCTCGAACACCTCACTTTGAGAACCACTGAGAGTATTTTCTTTGAGATACCTGTTTATTTAAAAAAAATCTCTCTCCCTATCCACATGTAATAATCTTCCTCTTCTTCATGGTATATAATGGCGAGAGCTAAAGAAACAACTCTTCAATCCCAGCATGAGCCAATGCCAAGAGTTTAAAAACGAAATAAACAAAATGGAGCTGTCCATAGCTCTAGATGCCTCTCCTGACCCAGCTGCCATTCCCTCTGCTAAGTAACTAATTAGTAACTAATTGTAGTTAATAGGTGGGAGTATAGGGATGGCTTAACATCACCCTATCTTAATTCTTGGAAGGAAGACTGAATGAAAGCCACCAGAATCATTTAATCACATTTAGTTTTAAAGGCTTCTTTTCATAAAGATGCTTTCACTTGCTGAGTAGGCTCAGTACCTGACACAATGGTAAGCACACAGCTGCCCCTCATGAATGTGATGGTTGATTAACACAGTGTGAAAACAACCCAAGAGCATAACAGAAAGAAGGTGTGGAGACTATAGCCCACAGGAAGAAAAAAACCTCATTTACAAATATGTTGGTTCATCTGCCAGTTGGCAAATAAGATACGCCTTTATACAGAGGGAGGTTTTGAGGTTAAAAACAAAAACTGATTTTTTTTAATCCCAGACAATTTTTAAAGTTCAAGAGTTAATTTTAAAGTTGCTTAAAGTATGGCTTATTGACACAACAGAAAAAATAGTAAAGCTATCAAACAAAGCATTTCTGTTGATTTCCAACAGAGACTAGTAATTTGCCTGTTAACAGTTTCTCAAATCACCGAATGCACATTTTAATTAACACATTATTTTTAGGTTCTGAATGAAGTGCATTCCTATACTTGGTCAGGTTTAGTCTGCAAATTTTCTGATGGGCCAGTTTTCATGGTGGTACCTGTATACACACCGGGTTGGTGGTTTGTGTCAAGGTACACGGAATTCTGTTGGACACAGTATCATACCACATAAACGGGACAGTGACCATAGATGTATATGGACACACATATATGTATATGACAAATTTACATATGTTATATACATATTTGCTCTATCTAACATAGTAAGAAAATGAACAAATAGAATAATGGATATAGGTATCAAATAATTTTCTTAGTACAAAAATTACAAGAATCTATAAATCTTTATTTTAGCACTAATTTCATATAAATACACGCCCACACAAAGGTCAGACAATTAAGGTCGTGAACTTTCTACCATGTAAGCGCACAGTGAAAAGTTCGTGAACTTAATTGTCCAATCTTCGTGTGTGTGTGTGTGTGTGTGTGTGTGTGTGTGTGTGTGCATTCTCTATAAATCCAAATCCAACCATTGCTTCCTTTTTACCCAGGCAGATACAGCCAGCTCAGTTCCACCTCAACTTGCCACTTGCCACATGCTTACCCTTTCTGATTTGGGTCCCAACCCAACCCATGTTAAAAGAGCTGAAGTAGAGCTGAGATTGGGAACTGAAATCAATCAGGAGTCCCATATTTTGTCCCTTGACCTCATAAGTCACTAAACTGGTACTTATCTAACTCAGAGAACTTCATCTTCCCAAGTTGGTGTTCCATATTCCATCACTGGACAGAAACCATAGGTGAGTGAGGCTCTGCTGAAAATGCTCCTTATCAAGTCTCTGCCACAGCTCCCAACTCTCAACACTCCCACTCCTACCATCTACAGGTAAAGATGAAGACCAGCCAGCCAAGCAATACAAAGCATTGTGGCCAGCAACATGGTTCTTTCAACTTAGAAAAGAATCTGCAGAAATAAAATAATTCTCTTACAGCAATTCTCCTTCTCAATCCACTCAGTGCTGAGGATCCCAAAGGAGCGACAGGACTCTCCGTAGGCAGCCAGGGAGCCACACAGCTGGTACTTCTTGTGGTTGTAGCAGCCATCCAGGTAGCAGGACTCGTAGAAGGGGAGGGGGTCGAGCAGCCCGTAGCAGGGCTGGAAGAAGCCCTTCATGTCCGTGAGCTTCAGGCAGTAGCCATCGCCCTGCATCTTCTGGATGTGCACATTATCACACATGGCTGCGTACTGTGAGAACTGCAGCTCATTGCAGCTGGGGGCAAGAAGTCTGGTCAGACTACGTGAAGCAAGAACAACCATCTGAGACCTCCAGTGGAAGGGAAGACCATGTCTGTTACCTCTTTTGCTAACCCAGAAGTTAGCGTGGTATGCCGATCCCAACACTAATTAGCCATGTGAAAGTAGTAAGGTAATTTCTATTATTAATATCACTGGGATAAATGAGGGTAAATAAAATAATGGCTTGGTAGCCAAGTGTCAGGCAAGAGGTAGATATTGACATGATAGCCATATTGATATAATGAACTGATATAACTGATACAATCAATATTTATCAATAATAATAATAGTAATAATAATGACAGTTGGTAGACTTAAAGATTTGGAAGGAAGTCCAGAAGCTTCTAAACCAATTCTAGTTTAGCTATCAGAGACCAAAAGCAAAGCCTTCACTAGAAAATTGAGGTTGGGCTGAAATCGTTTATAGAGGAAGAAAGAGGAAGAAAGGAAGGGAAAGGAAGCTCAAACAGAATCATAATTTCTCAGGAGGAACTGAACCTTGCTCATCTTTGAAAGCCCCAGAATAGCTTAAATGTGCAAAGTTGTCATTTTTCTAACTGTGGGCCCAGTAAGTGACATTTTAGAGAAAGCATCAAGTTAGGAATTCTGGTATCTAATTCTGGCTCTTACAGGGCCTCCATTTCACCCAAAAAAGGAAGAGATTGGACTAGATGTTGCCCAAGGTTTTCCCAGTTCTGGGTCTCATAATTCATAAGGTTGTCTAATTTATGATACATTATTCAGTTTACACCTGTAGAAGGGTCAAAAAGGGTTTGAAGCTTCACTTCCACATCTGGGTATTTAGCTGATGTTTGACCTGTTTAAGCACAAAGAGATTGAGCCACTGTACAAGTAAAATACAAACAAACAAACAAAACCAGGAACAGGAAGTGTATCTATAGTTCTAGAAAGATATGACATAATTTAGCAGCCCAGAGGGCCTCTAAATTAAATGCCTTTGAGATAACTTGTATAGCTCATTCTAGCTCAGTTGACCAGAGAGGGGCCTGATAATAACCTTGGTGACTTCTGTATTTAAAAAGGCTTTTCTGACTTCCATAAACCTGTACCTGCACAACCACAAACAAGCCTCTCGTAAGAGTCATGGACATACAATTAGAACCAGCACTGCAGAGGTGGGGCGGGAAGGGGGGCAGGGCAATTAGAACCAGTCCTTCTTCCCCTGAGTTAGCTCTGAATCCCATCCCAGTAGGGATGCCCAGGTCTCAGTTGGGTAGCCTGCCAAGGTTTTAGAGTTCTAAGCCTGAGCAGACTCTGTTGTTTAGCCAAGGGCTGGATGGCATGAAAATTTAGAGTCATACCATCTAAGTCCAATTCCTTCCTCTGCCATTCAAGCAATCACTGAGGCCTCTGTATCATGAAAACTCCATAGACCTTTGGCTTAGCTCTTTGCAAGAGAGGAAAATGATGCTATGGAAAGTGCATTCTTTGTGAACATCTGCTGTGGATGTGGGAGGATTTGGTCCACTGAGCCTAGAGGCTAGAACTCTCACCTCTTCTGCATGCCGTTGGTTTTCCAACTCTGGGCCAGCACCACACTGCTCACCACGGGCTTTCCCCGCAAAGTCACATAATCATCAGTTAAGTCCCCATTGAAGTTGCCACAGAGGCCACACACTTTGTTCTGTAGCCTCTCACTGATGCTGATTTTTATGACATTGAAACCATTGTAGTATATCTGGATGTCGGGGCTGGTGTCAATCACCAGGAACCCCTCACTGCTGTAGATTTTGGTTGCCAACCCAGTTATAAATGGAACATTCACTTGTGTGCCATTCACCTATTGAAGAAAAAAAAAAAAAGTAAATGACCCTTAGAGCAGAGGTTAGCAAACATTTACTACAAAGGGCCGGAGTAAATCTGTTATGATCTTTATTGCTATTCAACTCTTCCCTCATGGCAGGAAAGTGGCCCATAGACAATATGTCACCAAATGAGTGAGGCTGCGTTCCAATAAAGCTTTACTTACAAAACAGGCAGCAAGTAGATTTGTCTGAATCCCTGTCCTAGAGTTCAAGGATACTCACTCATCTTACTGTTCACAGTCCCACCGCCCCCCAAAGAAGCAAAATATGGAGGCAGAGTGATAAGAAAACATTAGAAATATATAATCCACAACAAATGGCTAAATTTTTGCATAAAACTTTCCCCAGCATAAACCAATTACTGAAAATGAAATCCAATCCTGCGCTAAGGTGAGTCTAAAACAGTTAAAAATGAATCTGAGGAGCATTGCGATGTTTATTGTTTTCTTGCTTATAAAGTTCAAACAGAAGGTCCATCCCAGAGGTCCTATAGGCACAGTATTTTCTGCATTTATCCTTTTCCTGCTTTATAACAGATTCTTTTCTTAGCCCTTAGGACAGGACGTAACATGCTTTTCTTATACTTACAAAATAAATTGTATTCTCCCCCCAGATATACGCAGATTATTTGTAACTTTTATTTCTTAAAAAAATCAGAAGGCTTTAAATAAATATGATTCTTTGCTATTTTGGTAGCTTGGTGTATTTTATTCAGCAATGATGTGTTTTGCTGTTATAGATGGTCATTTTCACTAGCTCCTGGGTTCTGGACCAACATAGTTGTGTCTATGTGGGCCAATTTGCAAAAGGAATTGGGGTTTCAAAAACAGTAGAAGCTTTCACTGAAGTTAAAAACCAGTACTAAAATTCAAACTCTTCCTTTTAAGCTTGCAAACTACTGCCAGTCATTTGCCTAACTCCAGATACTAAGCTATTTGATGACTATTCAAATTTAAGATACACTCAATGATCTGAGCCAAGGGTGGAAAGCAGATACACACAATAACAGCTGAATTCCAAACAAAGTGTTAATGTGTACATCCTGGCTCTCTCCTGTCCCGCCTTAGCTGTAATCACAGCATAGGGTGTGAATCCATTGTTCAGGTCTACCTGCTGTGAGCAGCCTGATTTGGCCAGAGGTTAGGAGTCACTGTCAGTAGTTCATTAGAGCAGATGACCTTCTTAAATGGAAGAGATAGAAGGAATCCAAGTAGGAGAGGAATATTAGTTATAGGAGTGGGTTACGGATTCATATTTATTTATATAAAGGTCTAAGATTCACAAGAAACCAGGTAGCTAGACTAAGGAAGAGTCAATTTAGGAGATATTCTCCAGATTTGGCTTCGGTTTTCTTTTATTTAGCATGCTGTTTATTTACCATGGGACCCTCTAATAGTGGGGGATACTCCAGCAGGTTTTTATTTAGGTAGTCTTTATTTTATATTTTTTTATTTTTTTTTAGGCAAATGCTTGCCTTCTCCCAGCTTCTAGAAAGGATGGCAAAGATGAAAGAGAAGGTCTTGGTACAGGTGGGCAGAGCCAAGAATAATTTTAAAGGCTCTTAAAAACAAACGAGATGCTTTTTGTAATTTAATCCAGAGTAAAAGCTGACATAACTACCATTTTATCACCCGAAGCTCTATTAGCACCCATGCTGTCATTATTGCCCTGAGACACTGTACCTTTCCTGCAAGCCTTTGGAATTGTCAACAAAGGACTAAATGGGACCCATTCTTACCCTTGTGAAATCTTTATACTGTCGTTCTTTAAAATCTGGTCATCTGTTTATGGTACACGTGAAGCAACAACCTGTTATCCTCAAACTTGGTTATCTGGGAAAACCACAATAAACAGTCCCCTAGCCATGCCTTGTTCTGGGGCACATTTCTTAAGAATCTACCACGAGCTTGTTACCTTGACAGTGTTCCGGTCATTGATGAGAATCTGCTCTTCGTTAATGTAGAAATAGACGGGAGAAATGATGGTGAGGTTGGGGGACGACCACTTGTCGAAGTTAATGATGAGCTGGAAGGAGATGTCAGGCAGTTTCTGGCAGATGGTGGATAGCACGAAGGCGCAGTTGGCAGGGAAGCGGAGGAAGGCGCCGTCGAAGGTGCGAAAGACACCGCCACCAGCCGCCAGGCAGTAGGAGGTCTTGGTGCTAAAGCAGCCACGCACCCCATTGCGCAGCGCGCACTCCTCATCTGACTTACATTGGCGTGGGTCGCACTGGATCAAGTTGCGCCGGAAACAGCGGCATCGCCGCGTGCAATCACTGTTCCAGAACAGCTGCTTAGGCTAGAAGACAGGTGCCATTTGCATTAAACTCAGGCTATAAGCAGTGTCAGGGAGGACCCCAAAGCCCAGTCTATCTGGTTCCTTTCCTGGGCTGGGCTAGCCTCTTTTTAACTGGGCTGGAATTTGCAACACAGAGCAGTAGGGAGGATGCTTTAACTCAAATGTTACATCAGTTCCAAGTAATTCAAATGCCAAACAATATGCAATTTAGTCTATATTGGTTTCAATCAAGAATTTGGGAATCTTTACAGTTGGATTGTAGAACTAATCACAGCCAACCTGAATGTGCAGCTGTTAGAGGAACTAGGTGAAGAGGAAAAATATTTGGTAAGAAATTATTCTAACAAGTGCCAGTTCCACCTCAAGGATGAAATTTCAACTCACTCAAGAATAAGAAAACTTGCCCTTTAAAGCTGAAGTAAGTTAGAAGAAAATGATAACCAACCATTATGATAAATCATTTCAACATTTCACAATACTCAACTCTCCAAACTTTTTTCTTATATGTAGTCTACTTCTAATTTACTTTGGTTGCAAGTACCTCCATATCTATATGTCCCGAAGTGAGAGATTTAGAGAACAGTGAGATTCTGTGAAAGGAAAGCTTTGGGATCAGGCCATCTGGATTTCAATCACAGCCCTGACATTCTACATGTGCCACCTTGAGGAGCACTACTAGCCTCGCAGTGCTGGTACATACCATTGTTCCTTTGTTGAGCCCTGCCCACCATCCCCATAGCTAGCAAGTGCACACGGGCACCAAATCTGTCTACATTGACCTGCTGAACATCACTCACCCCACCCTGGTAATTCCCTGAGACCTTGCCTGACCAACCTCACGTGCCCAACCTAAACTTATTTCAGCAGCTGTTCCACACAAGCAGGCACCTTCAGTTCATGCTACAGACTTTCCTAAAATCTCTCAAAGGTACACAAACCCAAAACAAACAGTGGCATGACCTGTACTTCTTGCTAAGCTGCCCCAAGCCCAGCACTAGTGACAGCCTGGCCTCAGTTCACAGCATAGCCTCTCTGAGGCATCTGTAAGCCCAGCATTAGCAGCTACCAACCACAGTCACTTTGTAGCACTTACTAAGTGGCCCTTGGCTAGGCACAGGCAGTGGATAACCTAGGCCTTCACCAGAACCCCTGCCAAGAGGTCCCAGAACCAACACACCCAGTGATTGGCTTCAGACCACATCAGAGTACCACACAATTAGATCCACAAATGATACACCCAAAGGGTAAACTCAGCAGGAATCGGAGCCTTGCTAAAGTAAATCATACTCTGGAGAGGTCAGCCCGATGCAACAGCTTACCTCCTGTAGTCAGGGCCAGTCTTTATAGCCAGTCAACTGTAGGGTCAATCCCACCTATTGACATGCCAACAGAAATAAAGGCTCAACTACAACAGAAGGGCACACACAACCCACACAAGGGACACCCTGGAGCACTCGGCTCAGGTGACCAGGGAGACTGCACCATTGGGCCCCATAGGACACCTACAACATAAGAAAACTCTGCCAAGACTGGAAAATGAAGCAGATATATCTAATACATAGGAAAAAACACAGGGAGGTAGCCAAAATGAGGAGACAAAGCAACATGCCCCAAAAGAAAGAAGAGGACAAAACTCCAGAGAAAGAGCTAAAGGAAATGGAGGTAAGCAATCAACTAAATACAGAGTTCAAAAGATTAGTTATAAGGATGCTCAATGACTTAAGGGAAGAATAGATGAATTCAGTGAGAACTTACACAAAGAGATAGAAAGCATTAAAAAAAGGTCAGAAATGAAGAATACAATAATTGAAATGAAGAATACATTCAATGGAATCAACAGATTTGATAAAACAGAAGATGGAATCAATAATCTAGTAGACAAGGCAGCAGAAAACAACTAATGGAAAAACAAGGAGTTAAAAAATTAGTATAGTTTAAGCAAACTCTGGGACATTAAGCATAACAACATTTGCATCACAGGAGTACCAGAAAAAGAAGAGAGACAGCAAAGGATTGAAAACCTATTTGAAGATGTGACAGAAAACTTTCCTAACCTGGCAAAGGAAATAGACATACAAGGCCAGAAAGTGCAGAGAGTCCCAAACAAGATGAACCCAAAGAGGCCCACACCAAGACACATCATAATGAAAATGCCAAAGGTTAAAGACAAAGAGAGAATCTTAAAAGCAGCAAGAAAAAAGCAGTTAGTTACCTACAAGGGAGCTCCCATAAGACTGTCAATAGATTTCTCAACAGAAACTTTGCAGGCCAGAAGGGATTGGCACAAAATATTTAAAGTGATGAAAAGCAAGGACCTCTAACTATGATTACTCTACTCAGCAAGGCTATGACTTAAAATCAAAGGAGAGATAAAGAGCTTTCCAGACAAGAAAAAGCTAAAGGCCTCCATCACTGCCAAATCAGTACATGAGAAATGTTAAAGGGATTTGTCAAAGAAATAGAAGGAGAAGGGAGGAGAAGGAGGAGGGGGAGAGGGAGGGGAAGGAGAAGGAGAAGAAGAAGAAGGAGAAGGAGAAGGAGAAGGAGAAGAAGAAGAAGGAGAAGGAGAAGAAGAAGGAGAAGGAGAAGGAGAAGAAGAAGAAAAACAAGCAAATTTCACACAGAAAAAAAATCTTTCACTGACAGAAGCAAACACATAATAAAAGCAGTGGTTCAACCAAATATAAAACTAGTACAAAAGTTAAAAGGCAAAACTAGGAAGATCATGTGTAATTACAACAGTAAATTAAGGGATAAACAAAAACACAAAACAAGTAAAAATGTTTGTGAAAACATAAACATGGAGGGAGTGAGTAAAATGGTAGTGATTTCAGAATGTGTGCGAATCTAAGCAAACATGAAGTTCAAATAGACTATAAATATAGCTTTGTATATATGAAACACATGGTAGCCACAAATCAAAAATCTGTAAGAGATACAGAGGCAATGAAGAGAAAGAAATCCAAATACAACACTACAGAAAGTCATCAACATACAAGAAAATAGATCAAGAGAATAAGAAAAGAACAAAGAGCTACAAAGATTATTATAAAACAATAAAATGGCAATAACTACATACCTATCAATACTTACTTGAAGTGTAAATGAGTAAATGTTCCAATCAAAAGATAAGGGTGGCTGAATGAATAAGAAAACAGGATCCATACATATGCTGCCTACAAGAGACCCACATCAGATGTAAAGACAACATACCGTATTTCCCAGCGTATAAGACGATTTTTTGGCCCTGAAAAATATGCCTCCAAGTGGGGGGTCGTCTTATACGCCAGGTACACTTCAGATAGACTGCCCATAGTGCTTTCCCCGTGCCATAGTGGCCTCCCGATGCCCACCCACTTCATTCCACATACCGTTCAGGCATCAGCAGCGCTGCTGGGTGTATGCTCGGCTGTGTGCGATTTTGCGAGTGTGGTAAATTCGGGTTACCGTATATTTCTTTACATATGCATTGAAGATTCGCGATTTTGCGCTATCATGGTGCCTGTTAGAATGTTGAAGAGCTCGCACTTGCGCACTAGTGAGGTCCCAGGGAGATGCTGATGCAAGGGTGGACCAGACTGCTATAGTGACAGGGCGGGCAAACAGGGAGCAGGGACCAATCAAATCAGGCTTTGTATACAGCCAACAGCCAACCACAATACTGCACCATTGTACAGTACAGCATAGAAAATGTCGACCAGTCAAACCCCTATCATCCCTATCATGGCACCAGCCAAAAGAAAGAAGTATGATGCAAATTTTAAACTGAAAGTTATAAACTTTGCTAAGGAAAATAATAATTGTGCTGCTGCAAGACAATATGGAGTAACAGAAAAGATGGTTCGGGACTGGAAATCAAATGAGAAAGCATTAAAGAGTATGCCAAGGGGTAAGTGTGCATTAAGAAGAGGCACCCCACACTGGCCAGAACTCGAAAAACATGTAGCAGACATGGTGGCTCAACATCGCCAAAACGGTTATGTGGTGACACGAAATACAATACACTTGTTTGCACTTCAGTGGGCCAAATCAAATCTGATATTGTTTTACCTTTTATTTGGTGTGTGGAAGGTGTGCGGAAGAGGGGGTAGTCTTACGGCGAGTATATAACAAACTCTGTATTTTGAGTGGAAATGTTAGGGGGTCGTCTTATACGCCCAGTCGTCTTATACGCCGGCAAATACGGTAGACTGAAAGTGAAGGGATAGGAAAAGATATTTCATGCAAATCCAAATGAATAAAAAGCTGGGATAGCAATACTTATACCAGACAAAATAGGCTTTAAAATAAAGGATTTATCAAAGACAGATCAGAACATTTATTAATGACAGTGAGATCAATCAAACAAGAGGATATAATCCTTTTAAACATTTATGGACCCAACATAGGATACCCTAAATATATAAAGCAAAAATTGATGGACAAAATAGGAGAGATAGACAGTAATACAGTCACAGCAGGGGACTTTAACCCAGACAGAAAATCAAGAAGGAAACAGTGTCCTAAATGAAACATTAGATCAGCTGGACTTAATTAATATTTTTAGAACATTTCACTCCAAAGCAGCAGTATGGGCCACCGGAAGCTCTGGCACATATACATTCTTTACAAGTGTATACGGAACATTTTCCAGGATAGACCACATGTTAGGCCACAAAACAAATCTTAATAAATTTAAGAAGACTGAAGTCATATTAAGTATCTTCACCAATCACAACGGTATGAAACTAGGAGTCAACTACAAGATGAAAACTGAAAAAAAAAACAAAAAAAACCCCCACCCAAACACATGGAGGCTAAATAACATGCCACTAAATAATGAATGGGTTAACAATGAGATCAAAAAAGAAATCAAAAGATACCTTGAAACAAATAAAAACACAACAACTCAAAATCTGTGGTACACTGCCAAAGCAGTATTAAGTGGGAAATTCATAACAATATATATGTACCTTAAGAAACAAGAAAAATCTCAAATAAACAATCTAACCTTACACCTA